TGGATGGATGGATGATGGATGGATGATGGATGATGGATGGATGATGGATGGATGGATGGATGATGGATGGATGGATGATGGATGGATGATGGATAGATGGATGGATGGATGATGGATGGATGGATGATGGATGGATGGATGATGGATGGATGGATGGATGATGGGCAGGAATTGTTCCCTGGGAGGGTGGGGAGGGGCTGGAACTCCCAGGGAAGCTGTGGCTGCCCCTGGATCCCTGGAAGTGTCCAAGGCCAGGCTGGAGCAGCCTGGGACAGTGGAAGGTGGCACTGGATGGGATTTAAGGTTCCTCCCAACCCAAACCATTCCATGATTCTCTGACACCAAAGCTCAACACGGAGCTCCATTAAGGTTTTTTCCTCTTCTCTCCGGAAAAGATTTAAAATCATGCTCAGAGATACAAAATTCTGGGGATATCCAAGGAGATCCCTCATCACTGCCTGGGGATCCAGGACTGTGATGCCCCTGGAGGCTTCCCAGACTCCAGATTCACCTTCGGGGACACAAACGCTTGGAATGGTCACCTAAAGAGCTCGGAGGGACTGGGAGCATCCTGCCTTGAGCAAGGCCCTGTGCACACAGCCAGGGCTCTGCAGGCCCAGGGGAGGCTGTGGATGCCTGGGCAGGGAGCAGAGCTCCAGATTCCCCAGGAATGATTTATTAACCCCGGCCACGCCGAGCCCTGGCGCAGCCCCGGCACAGAGACAGAGGGGATTGCTGTACCCAGAGCACTCCAGCTCTGCTCTGGGCACCTGGAGCACAGCACAGCCCCTAAATCACAGCTTTGTTCAGTCCTCAGCAGCCTTTGCAGGGGGAATTGCACCCTTTGCCCAGCTGCTCTGGGTGGAACCAGCACGGTGTCACAGAGAATTCCTGCGCTGGGAGGTTCCACACAGAACAAACCTGCGGCTGCAGGAGAATTCACTGCTGTCTCAGGCTCCAGCAGCACTTCTCAGCCTTCTCCCTGTGCTTGTAGAACATGAATTACAGCAAAAAATCAGCTTCAGAGCTGGGCTCAGTGCTGTGTACAATTAATTTATCAATGCTCCCAGCACTCACATCGTTCTTTGTACTCTTCTCAGCTCTGGAACATCTTGATATGCCTGAAGTGAATATGAAATCATGTCTTCTAGATAACCTGCATTTATTTAAATTTCTGTGTCTCTTTTGTCTGGCACCTCTCCAAACAAACAGATAAACCACGAATGCGTCAGGGAATCAAATCCCAGCAGCAGGATGTGCTCAGGAAACGCCTGATGTGTGATTGCCCGTCACAGCAGCTCCTCACTGTGCCAGGTGTGTTCATCCCTCCTGGAGCCCTCATCTCTCCCAGCCTGGGAGGAACAAACACCTCAAAGCGGGAGCAAAGCTGCAATTTGGAGTGAAGCAGTGTCAGGAGCCTTGGGGCTGGTGTCATTTGGTGCCTCTTGGCAGGGCTGGAGCGGAGGGAAATGAGAGCAATCACAGCATGAGAGGCTTTGCTACAACAAGGGATCCTTTCCCAGCTTCAAAACCGAGCCTAAAGGCCTCACCTGAGTGAGCCTGAGAGCTGGCACAGCAACCTCCCTGCTCCTGCATGGCTGCTGTTACCTTGGCCAGTTAACCCCTGTGCTGCCTGTGGGCACACAGAGCTGGAGCATCCAGCCCCATCCCAGCCCCATCCCAGCCCCATCCCAGCGGGAATGATGGAGCTGGAGACAGCAGGGGCTGAGCTCACCTCCAGCAGCCCCAGGAACACTCACACAGCCCTGCCCAGCAGCTGCAGGCTGCCCCCTAAAATCAAAGATTGATTCACTGCAAGCCCAGCACATGAACAGCAGCCTTGGCTCAGAGCAAGAGCTGACACCAAACTCTGCACTGGTAGAAGCAGAGCTTCTGCCACCTTGATGTTGCATTTATCAATTAAAGCTTTTGGGATAATTAGGCTTTTCCTCCTCGTTAAACTCCAACCTGTTTGGTTCTGCTTTGATTATTCCTGCCTGGGGTGGGGCTGGGGCAGGATACGACTTCAGGGTGAAGGTCACCATCGTTACTCAAGGGATGCAACAGGGAGCAGAGGTGCTGGGGGAGTGCAGCACATCCTGTCCTGCCAGCTCTTGTCACCAGCATTTACTGCTCAAGGCCTTTGTTCTTCTAGCCCTGCAGAAAATAAAATTCCCCAGTCCCTTCCAAAATTTCCCTGTGTACTTTTTTCTCCCCTGAGCAGTTTTAGTGCCTGTGCACCCCTGCAGCCCCTGCCCACTCTGTTATCCTGCTCTGGGGGCTGCAGGTCCCAGCACCTGGCTCAGGAATGTAATTGATGCTGTCCAGGAAAACAGAACCAAAATTAATTATTTTATAAACAAATTATAAAATTTATAAATTATTTATAAAATAATTATTTTAATAAACAAATTATTTGGCAGATTGCTCTGCTCTCCTCTTCCCCTCTTTCCAGAGGGGGAATTAGTAACTTTTATTTTTTTGCAAAATATGGTTTTGTACCAGAATGCCAGGATGGTGTGGGGTGCAAGGGACTCTGAGACCCGTCCACCCCAGACACCTCCCACTGTCATGAACCACAAATCTCACTCAACAGCATCAAAATGTGCAGGGAAGAGAATTCCCAGCCCTTGGCCAAGGCCTGGGTGCTGACACAGAGCAGGATTTGGCTGCTCCCTGTGGAGTCCAGCCAAGCAGCAGTGAGGCAGCCCTTGCTTTGGCTTTTATTCTGATTTTTGCTCACATAGGCAAGAATTATGTTTATTAATAGAGCAAATTAAGTAACCAAGTGTTCCCAATATGTTCAGGCCAACCAGGAAAGTGGAGACAGCAGGACAACTGCTCTCTCCTGCTGAGTCAGGCAGATCCAACTCAGGAGGGAGGTCCAAGTTACCCCTTTGTGGAATTAGTGAAGATCCAGAGTGGGAAGGGACCCACAGGGATCAGAATCCAACACCCCAACAATCCCACCCTGTCCCTGAGGCGTTGTCCAAACCCTCCTGGAGCTCTGGCAGGTTTGGAGCTGTCACCACCCTCCTCCACAATCGATGAGAATTTATTTCCTGAGGGACCAACTCTGCCTTTGTTCCTGGGGCTGTTGTCTCCCCCCGGGATCCCCACATACACTGAAATCACACTTCCTATCTGCTGCTTGCTGGAAGATGTGGCAGGAAGTGTTTTACTTGGAAACACTCAGAGAACATATTGGAAAACCAGAAAACATAAGGAAAAGCCTGCTCTTGCCAAGAGATTCTCCTTTTTCCATCCCACTGCAGAGTGACAACAGCGATGGCAGATGAGAGAGGAACTTTGGGGTTTGCACAGCCTGAGTGCCACAGCAGCTCCTGCCTGTGGGATCCATAAAGAATGAATCCCACATTCCCTGCTCTAAATCTTTAACATCAGATTAAACATAAAAAACAAATATTCTTTTTTTATGGACTTCTTAAAAATAAAAAATGAAATAGAAACTCTTTCAGTCACTAAAACCAACTTCAGCTCCCTGCTCCTTGGACAGCAGTAATTTCATATAAATACTGCAAAAGCAGATTTGTTACTACCCCTCATCACTCAGCACCTGCAAGTTTACTCCAAATCCCAAAATACATTGGAATGGGAGCTGGATCCTGCAGGAGAGCAGTAGGGCACCATCCCCATCTCCAGGGACCAGGCTGGGGCTGCCTTCCCCTCCTGGAGCAGGGTCTGAAATCCCAGAATCCCAGAGTGGTTTGGGTTGGAAGGGAAGAGCAAGGTCCAAAACCCCAGAGTGTTTAGGTTGGAAGGGAGGAGCAGGGTTTGACACCCCAGGATGGTTTGGGTTGGAAGGGAGGAGCAGTGTTTGATATCCCAGGATGGTTTGGGTTGGAAGAGCAGGGTTTGATACCCCAGGATGGGTTGGGTTGGGTTGGGTTGGAAGGGAGGAGCAGGGTTTGATATCCCAGGATGGTTTGGGTTGGAGGGAGGAGCAGGGTTTGATACCCCAGGATGGTTTGGGTTGGGTTGGAGAGAGGAGCAGGGTTTGTCACCCCAGGATGGTTTGGGTTGGAAGGGAGGAGCAGGGTTTGATATCCCAGGATGGGTTGGGTTGGAGGGAGGAGCAGGGTTTGATATCCCAGGATGGGTTGGGTTGGAAGAGCAGGGTTTGATACCCCAGGATGGTTTGGGTTGGAAGAGCAGGGTTTGATATCCCAGGATGGGTTGGGTTGGGTTGGAAGGGAGGAGCAGGGTTTGATATCCCAGGATGGTTTGGGTTGGGTTGGAAGGGAGGAGCAGGGTTTGATACCCCAGGATGGTTTGGGTTGGAGGGAGGAGCAGGGTTTGATACCCCAGGATGGTTTGGGTTGGAAG